ATTTCTTTGCCCTCTCACTCCGCACACAGACCAATTGGCACGCTATCACTGGTCTCAGGAGGGCCAGGTATTCAAAGGGAACTAACAAAGTGCCTACTATTTGTAAACAGGGCCATTTGTAAACCCTCTGGGCTAGATTTAGAGATTGCCTTTCCAACTCTGACAACACTCCTTTGAGCCCTCACTCCACTCTAAGAAGCATTTCTTTTCCAAGTGTCTGGAGTCCTATAAGTAACCTTTGTTTACCCTGAAAACACTTTCAGGGAAGCTGAAAGGAGCTTTAAAAAAAAACAATGTAGACTCTGTAGGGACCCACCTGGTCAGTGAGCTCCATGCCCACCTAAAAGGAGGAGGGGACTTCGCAGGCTCAACTCCAATCTCTGCCCACTCGCTCCACCATCAGCTACTTAACTGCTTAAACCTCCAAGGGCTCTCTGCTCCCAGTGAGACCATGGCAGTCCGTTAATCACAAGATTATTGAAGTAAAACAGCATCATAAGTAAAGTGACAACCCCAGTGGCCTGAACAACAGTGGTCGTTTGGGTTCCTGGCCCCAATCCCAACATTGGAGAGGGGCCACTCCCGCAAACAAGAGCAATTCTCAGACACCAGCTGGGTGTCCTACAATTTAACTCCATGCTGACACTACCTACCCAGAGTTAGCGTTGGGTTCCACAGGGTAAAGGCTCAGTCCTACAAGCCTGCCCTCCCCACCCACTTCAGACCCCAGTCACACAAGTCCAGGTTGTCACTGGTGCTCTAGCCCAACCTGCTTTAGGTTGGAGGCTCCAATAACCACTGCCTTGGGCCTCAGACACCAGTTGTATTGTTACCTACGCTTCTGACTGACTGGCTATAAACCAGAAATTTCCTTGAACTCCTCCTCAGGTTCGATTAAGTTGCTAGAAAAGCTCACAGAACTCAGAGAAACATTTTATTTACTAGATTACTGGTTTATATTATCTTTAAAAATATGATAAAAAATATAGATGAGCATCCAGTTGAAGCGACATGTGGGGCATGTATGTGGGTCGGGTGAAGAGCTTCCCAGAAGCTCTCTGAACACCATCCTGTTGGGTTAGTACACAGGTATGACCGGTTAAATCATTGGCCATTGGCAACAGAGTCAACCTCCAAACCCTCTTCACTCCCAGAGGCCAGGAGAGTGGGTCTTAAAGTTCCAACCCTTCAATCAGGGTTGGTTCCCCTGACAACCAGCTTACTTTGTTAGATGACCTAAGGATTTTCCAAAAGCTACCTCATGAATATAACATGTGACATTCTCTCTCTCACCAAGGAAATTTTCAAAGGTTTTAGAAGCTCTGTACTAGAAATGGGGGCAAAGACCAAATATGCATTTCTTACTATAAATCACATTATTACAAATGGGTAACAAATTAGATTAAAATTAGGATGAGGCACTCATTTGAATGGAGCACAGGGGGGCAGTGACAGCTCCCAGCCTCGGTCTTTGCTTTTGCTCTTCTCTCTCCCCATGATACAGTGTGGTCTCTACTCAAATGTCACCTCCCAAGAGGCTGCCCTAATGACTCAATCCAAAAAAACATCTCACATCACCTGCTTTATTTGTCTTCATAGCATTTTTAGCACATCACCGCACTTTTACCTGCTACCATATTATCTACCTATCTCAGCAATTTTCAACCAGTGTGCCACAAAAATTTTTTAAACATGCAATTCCTGACTATTTAGTCAAGGGCACCGACCTCTCTTCCCGCTGACTGTCAACTTTAAAAAATGACGACAGCCAATACAATAGCCATTCTCTGTGAACAAATCAAAAAATATACCTATTTTTTGTCATATCAGCAAAAAATATTTTCTGGCATGCCGCAGAATTTTAGTAATTAGTTTACGTGTGCCATGAGGTAGAAAGGGTGGAAAATCGTTGCTCTCTTTACTAGTATATGCTGTCCGTTGTCTCTCCCATCCTTCCAGGAGGGCAGGGACCTTGTCTTGTCCCCAGACTACCCAAGCACATAGTAGTCTTCCAATAAATGTTTGTTGGAAGCACAAAAAGAAGTAAAATTCAGAGCACTCGAGTACTTTACACTTTCTGGGAAGCAGTAAGACACAGTATAACATGTTAAAAGCTAGCATGGTTAAATACATCGAACAGGTGGGTAATAAGGAGAATGAATGACAAATTTTCTGAAGGAGTGATTGTGCACAGGATGGTGAGAGAGTGTTTGCCAGAGAAGACAAACACTGTTCACCTTGAAGGCAGTGGAAATTTCAGAAAGTTCGAGAAAAGGACCTACGGTGTTTTACACTGAGAGAGTGTACAACGCCATGTGTCATGAGGCCAAGTCATTAACAAGAAGGGGTTTACAGCTTGCCCTCGGGTCCCCATGATAGAGCAGCATAGCATCATCACTCGCTTCTCTCTGCACACCTAGCCCACCCACTGCACACCTAGCCCACCCACTACACACCTAGCCCACACACTACACACCTAGCCCACACACTGCGCACCTAGCCCACCCACTACACACCTAGCCCACACATTGTACACCTAGCCCACCCACTGCACACCTAGCCCACACATTGCACACCTAGCCCACCCACTACACACCTAGCCCACACAATGCACACCTAGCCCACACACTGCACACCTAGCCCATTCACTGCACACCTAGCCCACACACTGCACACCTAGCCCATTCACTGCACACCTAGCCCACACACTGCACACCTAGCCCACCCACTGCACCCCTAGCCCACCCACTGCACCCCTAGCCCACCCACTGCACCCCTAGCCCACCCACTGCACCCCTAGCCCACCCACTGCACCCCTAGCCCACCCACTGCACCCCTAGCCCACCCACTGCACCCCTAGCCCACCCACTGCACCCCTAGCCCACCCACTGCACCCCTAGCCCACCCACTGCACCCCTAGCCCACCCACTGCACCCCTAGCCCACCCACTGCACCCCTAGCCCACCCACTGCACCCCTAGCCCACCCACTGCACCCCTAGCCCACCCACTGCACCCCTAGCCCACCCACTGCACCCCTAGCCCACCCACTGCACCCCTAGCCCACCCACTGCACCCCTAGCCCACCCACTGCACCCCTAGCCCACCCACTGCACCCCTAGCCCACCCACTGCACCCCTAGCCCACCCACTGCACCCCTAGCCCACCCACTGCACCCCTAGCCCACCCACTGCACCCCTAGCCCACCCACTGCACCCCTAGCCCACCCACTGCACCCCTAGCCCACCCACTGCACCCCTAGCCCACCCACTGCACCCCTAGCCCACCCACTGCACCCCTAGCCCACCCACTGCACCCCTAGCCCACCCACTGCACCCCTAGCCCACCCACTGCACCCCTAGCCCACCCACTGCACCCCTAGCCCACCCACTGCACCCCTAGCCCACCCACTGCACCCCTAGCCCACCCACTGCACCCCTAGCCCACCCACTGCACCCCTAGCCCACCCACTGCACCCCTAGCCCACCCACTGCACCCCTAGCCCACCCACTGCACCCCTAGCCCACCCACTGCACCCCTAGCCCACCCACTGCACCCCTAGCCCACCCACTGCACCCCTAGCCCACCCACTGCACCCCTAGCCCACCCACTGCACCCCTAGCCCACCCACTGCACCCCTAGCCCACCCACTGCACCCCTAGCCCACCCACTGCACCCCTAGCCCACCCACTGCACCCCTAGCCCACCCACTGCACCCCTAGCCCACCCACTGCACCCCTAGCCCACCCACTGCACCCCTAGCCCACCCACTGCACCCCTAGCCCACCCACTGCACCCCTAGCCCACCCACTGCACCCCTAGCCCACCCACTGCACCCCTAGCCCACCCACTGCACCCCTAGCCCACCCACTGCACCCCTAGCCCACCCACTGCACCCCTAGCCCACCCACTGCACCCCTAGCCCACCCACTGCACCCCTAGCCCACCCACTGCACCCCTAGCCCACCCACTGCACCCCTAGCCCACCCACTGCACCCCTAGCCCACCCACTGCACCCCTAGCCCACCCACTGCACCCCTAGCCCACCCACTGCACCCCTAGCCCACCCACTGCACCCCTAGCCCACCCACTGCACCCCTAGCCCACCCACTGCACCCCTAGCCCACCCACTGCGCACCTAGCCCACACACTCGCTTCTCTCTGCACACCTAGCCCACCCACTGTCTAGGAGAGGTAGGATAAAAGTCCCAAAGACGAATTCCCTTGAGGAAACCTGACAGAGCCCAAGAAGAATCACAAACGCCATATGAATCTAGAGGCGGGTGGGTAGGGCGAGGAGCGTGCAGAAAACTAGGACAGCAGGGAGAGCATGGCACAGAGTTCTGAGTTTGGGGGTGATGTGAGGACCACAGGAGGAGGGGTGAGTGTGAGAGGAGCCTGCTCCTGCAAGAGGCACGCATGTCAACGTTAGCTTTGCCTCTCCTGCCTGTGTCTTCTCATCAGTAAAAGTGGAGATGATAACAGTACCTACTCCATAGGGTTGCCATGTGGATTAAATGAGTGGATGAGCCCGACTGGTGTGGCTCAGTGGTTGAGCGTCAGCCTATGAACCAGGAGGTCATGCTCGATCCTCAGGGGGGCGTGCAGGAGGCAGGCGATCAATGATTCTCTCCCATCATTGATGCTTCTATCGCTCTCTCCCTCTCCCTTCCTCTCTGAAATCAATTTAAAAATATACATTTTTTTAAATGAGTTGATGAGAGCAGAGCCTGCAAGGTAGGAATTGTCCCGATTATTGGAATTTCTGCGTTTCTTTCCATGAAACGTTGTCTATATGGACCATGGCTTTATGAAAGCGACACGTGACTCAGAGGCCCCGTGTGCCCAGCTGAGGAGCCTGAGCATCCAGTAAGCTCTTCCTTCTCGGGGTCAGTGCTGTGCCCCTCACTGGCCAAAGGGTGAAGTCAGGGGGGAAAGAGGGCCTGGTCACTTCACAGTGTGGTGTCTCCCGCCAGCCCAGGCTTCCTGTGTGGGTACTCACGGTTCCGGGGTGTAGAGGGGGTCCGAGCCGTGCCGGATGTACTGGGTGCAGTGGAACACCCTATAGGCCAGTCCCGCCAGGAAGTCTCTCGGACTCAGGTATCCAGCCACCGGCCTCACGGTGAAGCCAGATCTTTCTAAAGAGGCAACAGAAAGAGCCAACTAAATGCTAAACCAACAGGACTTGCTGGGCCAACCAGGGCTTTCTGTTATTTATAAGGGTGTTCTGGAAACAAAGTAATCAAGGTCCTACACCTCTTGACAATTGAATGACATACACAGTTGACCCTTGAACAACACGGGTTTGAGTGCCCAGGTTCATTTACACGTAGGTTTTTTTCAATAAATACAGTCAGCCCTTTCTACCCGCAGGTTTCACACTCACAGATTCCACTAACTGCGATCAAAAAACCTATTGTCACAGTCCCCGCCGTGTTTTCCCAACCGCAGATCAAAAATCCTGTTTGATCTACAGTTGTTTGAATCCGGGATGGGAAGGGCCAACTGTAGAGTCAAGTTACATGTGATTTTCGACTGTGCAGGGGGCCCCTGGATTGCTCAAGGGTCAACTGTATTGCAAACAGCTATCACGTCAGTGGCTTCTGATTACTAAACTACACTGTCGAGTGATGGTTTCCAGGGGAACAAGACATCTATGAAAATGGAAAGAAAAGGTGAAAAAAGATTGAAGGATTTAAATACAGAAGCCAATTTAGGACCAGAAGGCTCAAATACACAGGAGAGGATTACAATCTAAAGTGATGTTACCTGGTATCTTTC